ACCTTTGTACCTCAAAAAGTCAACTTTCAGAGCACATTGGCTTTTGATTTTTTTTTAGATGAATATGTCTAAAGATGACCTCCCCTAATTCCATTTTTGAAGTGATTGAGCAATGTGTGCATTTCCAAAACATCTACTCTCTTGTAGGCAGCAGTGACTTACCGCGATGGCTTTGATACAATCCAGGTAGGACGTCTTCTTCACACAAGCCATGCGGAGACCATCAGCTGGAAGGACTTTCTTCATGTTGTCACGGAAAGCCACACATTTGTTGGCCTCATGATCTGACACAGCACACCATCTTACAGTTTTCTCGGGGACAGCCAGACATAGCCCTGGGGGTAAGAAGCCAGACCAATAAGGGACCCACTCCCTGTGCCAGGGGGAGACAGCATCATTCTCTGAAGGGCCTTGATGGTCACATGTCCCCAGTCCTGTCTTCATCTCACTCCTATCCATGAACACTGCAGGGAACAGGCTCCCCTGCTTTCTGAGTGGGACCCCAGTAGCTTCCCAGTGTTCTGCTGACCACTCTTTGCTGCCCAGAGGGATGCTGGCAGTCAGTCCACCATCTCCCAATTGCCTGCCTTCTTCTTGCCTCCTTCCCTCACCCCGGCTAGCAGCAAAACATACTCCTGGGAATGCACATAGCATTTTTAGCCACCTCAACCCATTGGCTCAGTACAACTCTGCGAGGCCAGTAGGGGAAGAATTACCACCTTTTAGAAATGAGGGAGCTGGACTCAAAGAACAATGCCCTTTTTTTTTTTTTACTTGTGCATAGACCTTTATTTTATTTATTTATATGTGCTGAGAATTGAACCCAGTGCCTCACACATGCCAGGCAAGTGCACTGCCACTGAGCCCCAGCCCCAGCCCCAGAACATTGCTTTTTTATCCAATGTCAACCCATTTGTTTGTGGCCAAGTCAGGCTTGGAATCCAGGTCTCCAGACACTTGGTCCACTGCTCAGAGCACAAGGGAAGACAAAACTCTTAGTTACTTGGCCTCTTCTTCCTCAGTAGTGGTGGGTTGGTGGTGGGGGGGGAATGCATGAAAAGATCACGAATTTGCCTGTGACGCTCGTCTGCCATTCTTTTTAGTTATAACTAAAAGCTCCATCTATTCAGCAGTCTTCCCTTTTTCCACTGACATCTTCCCCAATTTTCATTTCTCTTTTAGACTGCCATTTAGAAAGCAAGCTGACTCCAGCCACACCCAGAGCTATTAAAATCCATGTGTGTCAGAGATGTCCCTATCCATGAGCTTTGGCTCCACCCCCCAAGCCCTCAGTATTGTCCACCCCCCTGGGTCAACACAGCTAGGCTGACTCGCTGACTCAGGAAGATCCGCAAGACACAAAGCAACAGGGCCACAGCCAACAGTTCTCCAGGATGATAAAAGAAAGGATCATGGGGGAAATGACCGCCCCAACCTACCTGCCTTGCTTCACCTCAGCTTTGGGAATTCACAAGAGGCATCACTATCAGTGGCAAACTCTCCCCAAACCACCTCTCCAGACCTGTCTCCCTACTTCTACAGGGATACTCAGTCCTCAGTCATGTGTGGATCTCACACCCCCTCATGAGGAATTGATAGTTTCAGAGAAGGCAAAAATAACTCCATGTGGAAGCCTACAACTATGTGACAGATGAGTGAGTAGCAAGCCAGGCTTAGTGGCTCACACCTTCATCCCAATGATTTAGGAGGCTGAGGCAGGAGGATCACAAGTTCAAAGCCAACCTCAGCAACTTAGTGAGGACTTGTCTGAAAATGAAAAAATAAAATAAAATGGGTTCAGGATGTGACTCAGTGGTTAAGCACCCCTGGGTTCAATTCCTAGTACCTACCTCCCCCTGCGAAAAAATGAGTGAGCTGGAGGCATAGACATAGGAAGAGGGTCCAACAACCTCAGATTTGGGGGAAGCCATTGGTCACTTGTGGCATTCTCCAACCTTGCCTGGTATCTTTGCATGACCCTCCCAGGCAGGTGTTAGGATTGCCCCTCTCAAAGGTGAAGAGCCTGGCCAGGATGAGGACCCAAGAATTCTGGTTTCCAGTAGCATCCTCTGAACACATGATGGCCCTGCCTCCCTAGTAGGGTATCAACAGCGCCAAGAGCACCCATGGGACATCAGATTATGAAGGGGGGCAATGAGTGATCCAGGGGAAGTTCGAATTCCCTGCCAAGGAGTTTGGACTTGACAAAAGAGGCAGCAGAAAAGCGCCCGGATAAACTGTGCTTAGACGTGCCCTATTTTATTATATTTGATTTACTGGACAGAGGGGGAAGAGGCATTAAGCAGGGTCAGCAGGGTGGCCAGAGGCTCAAGCAGGGTGCAGCAGAAGGAGTGGCAAAGAGGAGGAACGGAAAAGGCACCCGGGCTTCCAGGGTGCAAGGGATGCCTGGGGTGGAGACTCGGTCCTTCCCGCGCAGGCACTCACCCAGGAAGGCACAGGCCAGCAGGGCGCCCACGGAGAGCCTCATCCTCCCGGTGTGGCAAGGAGCGGTGAGCAAAGACCACCTGCTTCTGCGCTGCGTCTCAGCGCCCGGGGCGCCTTTATCCCCAGCGGGGGCCGCAGGGCGGGCGCAATCTTTGACCTCCTGTGTTTGCGCAGCTGGTTGCCCAATCACCCTCACCCATCCCCCTTCCTTTTTCACCCTGATGATCACCTCATTTCCTGAGCTCTGGGACAGTCCCACACAAAAAATGCTGTTTGGAAGGGAACTAAAGTAAAATCCGCTCTTTGTTAGAGTGGCTCGCTCAGTGCCAGGAGCGCGTCTTCAGCAAGCTGGGGCTGGGGTGGCTCTGCTCCAGAATCCAGGGCTGCCAGGGCTAGTGCGTGCCTCCAGGCCCATCAGCTCCGTGCATAGATGGGGACTCAGGCCTGGAGAGGGAAGGGCACTGCCCTGGAACCCCGTCGAGAACCCGGGAAAGGCAGGCAAAACCCTTCCTATAGGGAATGTGGAAAAAAGCGGGGCTCAGGGTAAAGGCAGTCCCTCAGCACCCTTTGCTTCTCAGCCGGTTTCCTGAAAATCTTGCCCCTGGGCTCCCAAAGCCCAGCCTTGTGGCTGAACTCAGGCTCTTGGACTTGAATACTTGCTGCTCTCAAGCTTCCTGTATCACACCTTGGGCTAGGGCCAGTCAGGTGCGAAACAAACCCCCTCTCACAAGAAGCTTCCAGGAATATGGTCAAGACGTTAAGATTCCCAACAACGTGCCATGTTAGCACTAAGAACAACCCCAAGGAATTTGTGATCGGTTCTTAAAGCCTCAGGACAATCCCAGTTTCCCTCCTGCTAAGTAGTCATTAAACTGCTTTAATTGCACATCTTTATCACATGCACACAAAAAATTATTGAATTGGTGCTTTCTGCATATGTATTTTAACTAAAAATTCTGTATATTTCAATCATGAACAAATAGATTTTTTTTTGAGGCAGAGTCTTACTAAGTTGCTAAGGTTCTCCCCTAAGTTTCTGAGGCTAGCCTCAAACTTCTGATCCTCCTGCCTCAAACTCCCAAATTGCTGGGAATTCAGGTATGCACCACCATGCCAGGTCCAAAGAATAGAAATTCATAAAAGAATGGGATAAAGATGAACACACTCATTTTTAAACATCCCTCTGCCTATGCTGCTTTATGTACAGTAAACAGTACCCCAAGGCACAGTATATAGAGAAAGGTCAAAGTTCCTTAGTTAATCATATAATTACTGATTCTGCCTCATTTTAGCTGACAAAGAGCTTATACCAGGCCTAATTGACATGCTACTTTGGCCATTTTGGTTTTGTTCACTTGTGATTGTGTTATCATAATTATCTTCTAATTCCAGTTTCTTTGCAGGAATAGTTTTAAGGCACTTGGGTGTGTTGTGATGGTTGGAGAGTTAAAGCCACATTTTAAAATCTGTACATCCATTTAACTGGGCACATGCGAACCAAAAAGCATGGAAACAAACAAATAAAAAATGTCAAAAACAGGCTGAGTGGCACATATCTGTAATTCCTGCAATGCATGAGGCTCAGTCAGGAGAATGCAAATTCAAGGCCAGCCTCTGCAACTTAAGCAAGACCCTGTGCAATTTAGCAAGACCTTGTCTGAAATTTAAGAAATAAAAAGGACTGGGTTCAATCCCCAGTACCAAAAGAAGGAGGAGGAGGAGGAGCAAGAGAAGGAGGAGGAGGAGGAGGAGGAGGAGGAGGAGGAGGAGGAAAGAAAAAGAGAGGAGAGAGAGAGAGAGAGAGACAGGAGTCAGGGTGCCACAACCATCCAGCACTGGCTTCTCTGGGCCTCCCTTTTGTGAAGTGATCTCCATCTTTCCTAAGAACACCTCAAAGGTTCCACTCAACATGCTACTGACCAACACTCTGACCCAGCTGGGGATTCAAGGCCAATCCCCACATTAAATATGATTGAATGATGATTTGTTAATCTTTTGCAACAATAAATATAACTGTAAATTAGGTTATGTTCTCCCACATCCCCATAGGTTGTCTCCTATAGAAAGGGGTTACATGCACTCCACTTTAGAGACTATTACTTTAGCAGGGGCTTTCCTCACTAATGAGGAAGAGAGGCTACTGCTGTCCTGTCTTACTGCTCCCTGCCTCTCGTATGGGGCCCTTTGAGCTTGAGCCATGAGAAAATAAGACTATTGGCAGGAGGGGCACATTCCCAATGCCATCTGCCGTCAACCCTAGAGGACAGTCTGGATCCATGGAGAGACCCTAAGGCAGGGACATAAAGGCCGGTAAGACTCCAGGGCAGGCCTGGCGGGGAGGGCACCGAGCAAAACAGCATGTATATATTCAGCCAAGATATTGACAGCAGTGAGCATTCAAGGTCTGCCAGGAAGCAGGAAGTGGAGTTGTCAAATGCTGAGCTCATGCCACAAACTCAGGGAAGCTCAGTGCAGGGCATAGACATACAGATGGACAATGATCCCCCACCGCACCCCACCCCAGATCTCTCCTACACTCACTCCTGCAGCTACAGGCTCCCACTTAGCCAGGGCCTCTCAGCAGGTAGCAGCTGTGGCCGGCTGAGCCCTCTCCAGACCAGCCAACCCCAGGTCCTGTCCTCAGTGGGGTCCTCTGCGTCCAAATCCAAGACAGGTGCTGGGAAGGGTGTGCACAGCATCACGGGATGTGGAGGAAGCTTATGTGAGGCATGGGGGACAGAGTTGCCACATCGTCTACTCACACCTGGTACAGAACCTTCATTCCTACTGAAGAGCAGGACAGCAACAGAGTCCTGTGTCTGCCATTCTTCAGAGGGACAGGCAGTGGCAAGGCTGGTTTGGGGGGTGTATATGTGTGTGCTACCTTGATTGCATGGGGTACCACGCCTGTAGAGGGTTGTGGTATAAGAGGTTAACCACACAGTGTTCCATGTCCTTGGTGGCCCATGACACTTGTACCTGTGCTCTTACTTATCTGTTTAATTCTATTTCAGATTTTTCTGGAGTCTGGGCACACATTGTCCCTCTTATGCAGTTTAATGATGGCTGAGACTTGCTGAGAGCTTCACCATGGGCTTACCACAGCCCTCTGACATGGGTGGCTTAGAATTTCCATCTTCCAGATGAGACAGAAATGGAAGACCAGAGAGAATCATGCCTTGTTCCAAAGGTCAGCTGCTGAGCCAGAATGCAAAACCAGGAGGTCTGGTTCTCTGCGGACCTTTCCATCAGGAGCAGGGCTTCTCCCTGGAAGCCAGAACGTAAAGGAGGCCAAAGGTAGGTTCATCTGGGGTCACATTGAGAAAGGGTCAGATGTGGACTGCTAGCCCTGACATCTCTCCAGATACTCGGCCCCCAAGTTCATCCGTCAGAAGGTTTGGTCAATCTGGGGAAGATCTGGGTGCTGGGCTGCAGAATCTGAGACAGGCTCACTGTATTGTGCTCAGCTGGGAGAAAATATATATTTAGCTCCCCTGCATGCCCTGTTCTGGGGCAAGATCTTGAGCTTTTAACTGATGTCCCTACAAGAGGAAATCAGTGCCCTTGTTTTCCGGAAGTGGACGCTACAGAAAAGTAATGATTTCTTGTTCATAGAGCTCTGGGACCAGAACTCACATCTCCTCACCCCACCCTTCCTCAAACCACAGCTTCCTTCTTGATATTGACCTTCTTTTTATTTAGAGAGAACCGAAAAGAAAGAGAGGGAGGGAAGCACTTGAGGGAGAAAGAGAAGGAAATGGAGAGAGAGATTGAGAGAGGAGCCAAAGGGGCTTCCATTTTCTGAACCAACCTGAACATGACCCACCACAAACAAGATAAAACCCTTCCATTCCAACCCGAGGGTTGGCCCTCTTACAGAAATAGCTGAACTCATGTGTACGTGCAGGGGAGTTGGGGCAGCTGCCAAAGAGGGGGTGGGCAGGAAGGCAGTGAGCCTCTGAACCAATATTTGCTATTTACAAAAGTTGCCCAATTTGCACAGAAGCAGAGCAAACAAAGAGCCTCTGTCTGCTTCAAGCCGTCCCCCTCCCCCAGTGTCCTCTGCCCCATACCAGAGCCTTGTCTGATATTCTGGGTCTGGGTCATCATGGGGAGCCTGAGAACCCATGCTCATAAGGTCAACAGGACCGCTGAGTCAGGGGGAGTATGTCAAGGTAGGTGGGAACCAGAACAGGGGCCTCTTAGGAAAATGGCAGCCATTTTTATATGCCATATGACACTCCCCCTCCCCCTTGCTCTCTGTCCTATCTCTCAGAAGTCCTTGGACAATGGAAGATACTCAAGGTTTTCATCCTTTTCGTAACAGAATCCCTAAACATACCCTTCTCATAAAAAATGGTGACCCATGGCCAGGCAGAATGAATTCTATCATTTAAGGAGAAAGAATGATATCAGTCTTACACATATGCATCCAGGGAACAAAAAAAATAGCAACAGTCTCTGACTAATGTTTTAAGCATGGTATGTAGTAGGTATACTTTGAAAGGAAAAAAAATCACCAAAGACAATAGGACGTACGTAAAAATGAGTTTCATGAACACAGAGGCCAAGATCCTATGCAAAAAAATTAGCAAACAGAATCCAGTAAAACTAAACAAGGATAATAAATAATTACCCAATGGGTTTACTTCAGGAGTGCAAACTATCTTTTGAAATATCAATCAGTGTAATTGATTACATAAATACAAAGATGAAGAAAGATGGCATGAGCCTCTCATTCAGCATAGGAACGTTAGTATGGGAATCAGTATAGAAATGTGGCCTGAAAACTTTTTCTTTGAGGTCAAGAACAAGGCCAAAATATCTTCTAGTAGCATTTCTAGTCAACCTGGTAACTGGAGTTTCGTTCCAGTCCACACTGGCAAGAATATGAAATAGCAAGTAAAAGGATTGAAAAGAAAAAAAAAACTCTCATTTTTACAGATGATATGATATGACTGTGTATTATAAAGTTCTCAACTATTTTATATATTAGGATATATGAATTAAGAAATATGGATGCAAGTTAAATATATAAAATCAATTATATTTCTACATATAAAATGGAAAAAATAAAAGATACTGTCTAAAATAGCATAAGAAAAACAAATACCTAGGAATAAATCTATAAAAAGACAAGTAAAACTTTTATGCACCAAATATAAAGTATTATTGAAAAAAAAACCCAAAGAACCCTAAGTAAATGAAAAACTATTTTCTAAATATAGAATGGAAGAACCAATATTGTAAAGATCTGAATTCTTCCCAAATAGATTTATGGATTCAGTGTCGTTCCAAACAAATTCCTAAAGAGTGTTTTATACTTTCTGGTGTACATTAGCAATATATTTCTAAAGTTTATACGAAAATGCAAAGTCTCAAATATACATTTGGTTGGTTACATAGGGTGAAGCATACCAAGATAAGAATAGCATTAATTCAATTTTTCTAACTTTTGTCTGCGTACCAAAATCTGTAGTACGATTGTCAGGTCCATTGAACTCAGGTGTTGATTATGCATAAATTATCTAAATGTGATCTTTAATGTGATATTGGACTAATAGTATAGAGTAACAATTACATAGTCAAATTGGGCATGGTGGCACATGCCTATAATCCTAAGGACTCAGGGGGCTAAGGCAGGAGGATCACAAGACCGGGCCATTCTCAGCAACTTAGTGAACCCTGTCTCAAAATAAAAAAATACAAAAGGACTGGGGATGTGGCTCAGTGGTAAAGCACCCTTGTATTCAATTCCTAGTACCAAAAATATTTTTTAAATTACATAATCAAGTGCATATATATCTACCACAATTAGTCTCCACTCTGTTGTATCATATCGATTTCCTACACTAGGAAGTAAACTAAATTTTTGACTAGCTATAATTTAAAGACCATTTCAGATAGTTCTCCTCTTCCTCCTCATTCTTTTTTATATACCTATGAAAGTTTTCAAACATACACAAATGTGGAGAAAATATTATAATAAACTCCCTTAGACAACTCTCCCCATTTCAACAATTATTAGTATTTTTTCTTTCAACAATTATTAGTATTTTTTGACCTTATTTTATCTATTTTCTCTGCCTTACTTTTCTTTTGGAATGATACTTGTCATATTATTTTTCCCACAAAAGTATGCATTTCTAACATAGAAGTAATGTTTTGCCTAACAATGCTATCATTCTATCAAAATTAAGTTATCCCTTATTACCATCTAATATCTAATCAATATACCAATCCCCAGTTTGTTTGAACAAGTTAAGTTAGATGTTCACAGGGGATACCAAACAAGATCCATCCGTTACATTCGGTGTCTCCTTTAAGTTACTGTAAAACAGTTCCCTGCATTTTATACTATTTACTTGTCAAAGAAACTGGATCTTTGTCCTTTGTAGTTCCCAACATTCTGGATTGGGCTGATCTGTGTCTACATGGTGACTTACCAGGTTATTTCATTTGAACAGCTATTTTATGGAAAGTCCCTCCGTTGGGGTTTTTCTGGTGTTGCCTCATAATTAGATTCAGGTTATGTACTTGGGGCAGCAATAGCAGGGGTCAGCTGCTGTTCTTAGTGTATCATGTTATAAGGGACTCAATGGTGATTTGTCCCAATATTGGTGGTTTCTCTCCCTCCCCCATATTGGTTTTGTTAACTCTTTTCTTGGTGCTGGGGTCTGACAGGTTTTTCCCCTGCAAATTCTGTTTTGCCTTTTTAATTGTTGAGTAGTTTGTGGGGAAGTATGTTGAGAGTATTTAATATTTATTTCCTCATAAGACTTTCACCCACTGACGCTTTAGCATTCATTGATGACTCTTGCCAGAATGAATTGGTACTATGCTGATTGCCAAAGTATATTCTGATTATATCATCCCTTCTACATTTATCAGTTGGCATTCTATAGTAAAGAAGAGTCCCCCTTTTTTCATATATTTACCTCTTAGTTAGCTATCTCAGCATGGATTCTTGGATTCCTATTTCACTCAATAAATTTTAAACCATTACTGTCAGTATTTTCACACTCAGTGGGTACATATCTGGCCAGTGGGAGGCCTTTGAAGCCAGATCCTTTGTAATTTTTACTAGCAATTTGTTTTCTAAGCACTTTGCTCTCTGGCAGAATTCAGGCCTACCTTATGCTTTCCCTGTTGCCAGCTCTGGGATCTCTATTACCGGAAACTCATTCACTAAGGAGGCTATTATCCTTTTACTGGATAATAATATTTAAAAGACAAGTTCTAGCCAGGTGCAGTGGTGCACACCTGTGTGTAATCCCAGCAGCTTGGGAGGCTGAGACAGGAAGATTTTGAGTTCAAAGCCAGCCCCAGCAATGGTGAGGCACAAAGCAACTAAGCACTAAGACTCTGTCTCTAAATAAAATATGAAATAGGACTGGGGATGTGGCTCAGTGGCCGAGTGGCCTTGAGTTCAATCCCTGTTATTCCCCTGCCAAAAAAAGCAAGTTCTAGGTGCCTGATATTCAAGAGTCAATGATGCTAAGACTTTCCAACAGATGGAACTAAGACCTCTGTGTGTGTGTGTGTGTGTGTGTGTGTGTGATGTGTATATACACACCCATCTACCTCTACCTATTTTGGTCTTTTCCTCTCTCTTTTTTTTTTTTTTTAAAGAGAGAGAGAGAGAGGGGGAGAGAGAGAGAGAGAGAGAGAGAGAGAGAGAGAGAGAGAGAATTTTAACATTTATTTATTTTTTCTTAGTTCTCGGCGGACACAACATCTTTGTTGGTATGTGGTGCTGCTGAGGATCGAACCCGGGCCGCACGCATGCCAGGCGAGCGCGCTACCGCTTGAGCCACATCCCCAGCCCTTTTCCTCTCTCTTCTCCATCTGTCTGTCTGTCAGTTTCTCCCTTCATCCTCCCTCCCTCTCTGGCAACTGTGAATTCACACTGATTCCTCCAACTGAACACCATGGCATACATTCTAGTTTTCTTCCATCCCATAGTTGCAACCCCCTTTTTTAGCAGTGGGAGACTTCGGTCCTCATATTAGCCCTGGCTTTACTTTTGATTTATTTCTCCCTTGCATAAGCAACCTTTTGATCCTCCCGCTGCCTCCTTGGTCTCTCAGGCTGCCCTGCTTCAGCCACCCCAAGGAAAGGAGAAGGGAGAGCATGAATACATGTTTTATAAATATAGAAAGGAAAAGAGAGGAAAGGGTGGAGGAAGGGAAAAGGAAGGGGAATGAAAAGGCTTTTTATCATTTCCTCTGCCCAGTGCTACACAGGGGAGGGACCTGATGGTGTGCAGGATGGAGGGAGAAGGGAACAGAGATGTTCTGCATCCCTCCATGTCATGAAGCCACGGGCTCCTTTTCCTCCATGCAGATATTCTTCTACAAGGAACTAGGAAAGACTAGGGGCTGTTTATCTTCATTTCAAAAGTCAGAGATATCCACTTTGTAATCCTTTCTTGTTATCCTTTCAGCCTGATGTTCAGCTGAACCCAGCCATACCTGACCTGAAGGCCAACAGAGGACACTGACCCTGGGCCTGAGTGGACTCTGTGAAGTCCTATGTGTGAAGGAACAAAAGTCCTGACCAAAGGCAGGCATGCAGGAATGCTGGTGCTCTCGGACATGCTGTTTACAGGACACTTGGACCGGCCTGCAAAAGACAGGATGAGAGTTCAGGGCCAGGGGCTCAGTTTAGTGCTCCACGGCAGGGCAGGTCCAGGCAGCATTGTGAAATAAGCAACATCTGTCCCAGGAGCTTCTTCAGGCCCTGACTCCAGAGGCCTCTCTCCCAGGAGACAAAGTAGGATTCTAGGGAATGGACAGGAGGACAGGGGAATTTTGAGAGCCATTTATAAAGTAGACCTGGACACAGGATGTCAAAGAGTCTGGATTTTTAAAGTAAAGCTGGAAGAGTTCACTACAGGTAGAAGAGTTCACTGCCAGAAGCGGACTCAATTCCAGATATGAATTTGGAGACCATCTGCACATGCAAAACAGAAATGCAGCGCCCAGAAGAGGAGCTCCCTCTGCAAAACCTGAGACAAGAGGAAGTCATGCTCCCAGCTCTTCCTGAATGAAGACACCACTAAAGTTGGAGTGATTTGGTCATTTGCTCCTATCCTTACAGACTTCCAGGTTGGATAGTGAATTAGGCAAGTGATTAAGCTCTCAGTGCCTCAGTTTTTGCATCTAGAAATTGGGAATCACAATGCCTCCTTCATAGAGTTATTGTGAGATCAAAATTAGGAACTAAAGTCAGTCACCTTGTGCAGAACCCAGCACGTTATTAGCCTCTTTCTTTCTTTTTTTTTTTTTTTTTACCTGTGATTTGCTCTTTATCTTCTCCCTCTGAGTCTCTTTGAGTCCTCCTAAGCTCAGCCCCTCAAGTCCCACCATATCAAGGATCCCTTCAAGTGTGCTGACTGCTAGATCTTAGACAATACACCCTAGAGGATACAGCAGACAGGTCCTGGCAGTGTTTTGCTCTGTATGTCAGTTACCTGTGCCCTCCTTCTAGTCACTTGTGCATTCTTGAGGACCAGGCTGGTCTGGTATTAATTCTGGTCTATAGACTAAGGGAATAATCTTAATTATTAAAATAAAATGGGCATAAGAAATCAAGATGGGGCTTGAATCTCTGGCTACTTAGGGTCTGCATGATGTCGGGCAAGTTACTTATCTGGGCTCCATTTCCCCAGGCTCTGTTTTCTCTCTAGTAATAGGAAGACAAGTACCTCCCCTGTCATTATGAAGACTACTGGCTTTACTATTAAAGTGCTGGCTCTGTTGGACACTGATTGATGGTAATGAGTACTATCATTGTTGCAGAACTCCCAGCACAGACAACATTTTTCATGCACATTCAGGGGACAAAGGAAGCATCTCTGTGTGCCTTCATTATGTCCCTCCTTTGCTATTGTTCCCTTTAGCAAAACACACCCTTAAGAGACCATCTAGCACAGCACTTCATTTTACAGGTTATAAAAACTGAGCCTACCCAGTGAACATAACGGGTAGACTGCTCAGCAGGGCAGAAGACACTGGGACCTAGGACTTGAGGCTCAATGACCTGAGCTGTCCCAACCACCTTATGACACACTTTCCTGGAAAGTGCAATTCATATTTTCTTCCAAGTTTATTTCAGAATTTTACTTCTCATTGCTTTCTTTCATTGAGAGAAGTCAAGACTCCAGATCATCAGATGGACACACAGAGGACTGGCTAAGCATGAGCACACAGACCGAGAGGACTGGGCAAGCTGAGCAGAGTCCAGTGTTCCCGGGGCCAAAGCAAACAGAACGCTGATCTCTCTGCTGCCCCCAGAGCCAATGCCAGTGTTTAATGTCCCTGCTCCTCATGGAAAGAGAAGAACAAAGTCTACCTGGTTTCTCAGCTGTCCAAAGTAACCCTTTGGCCTCTGCAGATTTACAGGTTTACAAACAATGTCAACTGTTGGTTTCTGCAGTTGAATGATCTTACCCTTTTACTTGTTCTAAGTATTGCTCATTTATGTAAATATATCCAGCTTGTCTATAGGTGTCATTGACAAGACTTACCAGCTCCACAGGGAGCAACTGCCCCCAAACAATTAACAAACCCCCATCCCTATCTTTCTTCTCCCTGGGAAAGGAAGTGAGAGATCTCAGAATGCAAAACTGTGTGTGTGTGTGTGTGTGTGTGTGTGTGTGTGTGTGTGTTATTAAAGTGAGAGTCCCTAGCTTTTATTAATCCTTAGTGGGGCCCATTGGTACTGTAAATATGTTGAAATCTCTGGCCATCTTTCCATGTTCTTAGAATTGGGAGGAAGTAGAGTTGAGGTACTTGACAGCAATCTCCCAGTGCCAGTGAAAGACCCCCGTGGACCCAAACCTTCCGCTCTAGGTAACTTAGGACTGCAGGTTTGGCCCTCCTGGTGGAGGAAACTGGTAGCCAAAACTCAAGCTCTTTAGAGCCAACCGTAACTAAGCCTCTGAGCAATAAAGCCTGAGGATTTTATAGCAGGTAAAACTTTAGAGGAGAATCTTCCAGAAGCCCCAGCATAAAGGATAGGCATGTCCATGGCTTCCTGGGGGCATACTGCAAGGAGCCTATGCAGGACCAGATGTGAAAATGTCATTCCCACAAGGAGTGAGACCTCAGCCTCTAGCTACTCCTGGGGGAGAAGCTCCCTGATCCACCGACCCTTCCTGCTGCCTCTCTCTGGGGACTGTATTCTGGACGGAAGAGAGGGACTGTCCCCACAGGCTTGACTGAGTTCTTTGGGCCTGACAGTTAATAACTGAGAGAGAAAACTGGCAGCTCATTGAATAGACAAGCATCTTGAGTCTGGAGGAGCTGGGGGCACTTTCTGTGAGGCTTATTTTGGAGCCATCGTTTCCTTCCATTCCACCAGGGAAACCAGTTGGAAACTCCATCTCCTCAAAGCTAAAGATGCCCATTTTTTTCTGAGTTGTAATCCAGTTTTCTGGCCTTTTTCAGGCGAATTCCCAGGTCTGTTTATAAGAATGTTTTTTTTTTTTTTTTTTTTTTGTACTTGAAGGCAATATGTATAAAGTTAAAATTGTTGGCTTTGAAGGGAAGATGCTTGGATTGAAATTGAGCATAAAAGGCTCCTAGCAAGACATCACCTTCCATTCCTGACAACTAGTATTGGAGTAACACTCTTTTCATAAAATGAATAGAAAGTTAGACAAACACATTAAACCACTGCTTTTGGATATTTGAAAGTACCAAGTTGTGATTTTTTTTAGAGGAGACCAATGATGTGAATCCTACAATCTCACTCACTTCCTGCCTTGAAGCACTCTTTCAGAACACAGCACAAGGGCAGGTAAACCATGCAGAATAGGATGGTCTTGCCGAACTGTGGGGACAGAGATGAGGAGTAGAGAACAGGGAACCAGAATTCACATGACACTGTACTGAAGAGAAGTGAAATATGCAGAAAAAGTTATCCTGAGATCTTTATAGTTTGAGACCAGACAATGAGCAACTTCTGGGGAAAGAGTGACTATTGGGGAAAGATATATTGAACATCTTTTGGAACTCTCCAGAGTGGGGAGAGAAATGAGATTTGCCCAGTAGCAGTAGGAAGACTTCATTGAACACATACAGAATTCAGGGGAAAACTCAGATGTTAGGAGTAAAGATAAATTAGCCCTAGAGGAAAGTTTATATTCACTCTAACAAAAACCTTCATATACAACTTGAAAGCATTGAACTGATTTGCAAATATATTAACTTTTCAGGAAAAAAAGAACTCCCCTCATTCTCTTTTAAAGAAGGCAGCAGAATCCAGACACTTAACAACGTAACAATCACAAAGTACAGCAACAAATAAAGAATTATCAGTCATACAAAATCAGAAAAATGTAGCCTATATTCTGGAGGGAAAATAGTCATAAGGAACAGATCCCAATAAGATAGAGATAATAAAATTAATAGAGAAAAATTTCAAGTATTTACTTAGAAATTTAGAGGAATCAATGAATAAGATAAGGGTAGAAATGGAAGATGAGCCAAAGAATCAAATGAATCTTCTAGTGTAAAAAATAAATTTTTTTTTAAATTACTGGATGAATTGATCAACAGCTTAGACTCTAAAAAAGAAAAGATCAATGAACCCAAATACAGGGCAATAGAAACTACTCCATAGCAAAGAGAAAGGGAGAGACAGAGAGAGAGACACACACACAAGTGTCACAATGGGCAAAAGGTGTGACTTATGCAGTTGAGAGTGAGAAATAAAGAATGTCCACATGCATCTGCCCTTTTTAATGTTTTATTTACTCAAATCACTTAATACAATTTCACTCTATAGGTTCTTAATCAAGGGATGATAATCTTTAATGCTGGGCATTGCAATAGAAATAATCAATTCAAAGCAAACAATTCTAAGTTAATTCTCAGCACTGCAAACACACCTAATCATGACAGACCTATTGCAGACATTTCCTCTGCATGCTAAGCTTAAGTGGTAGATTTAAAGTCTTAAGTGTTAGATCTTAAGTCCAGCAGATGCACACTTAGTCAGACCACAGCAACCAGGTCAGGATCCGATAGAGGCTTCTCCTGGGGTGGAGTTGATAGCTGGCTGCGGAGGCGGTCATAAGGAGAAGTCCTTTTCTCACCAGAGTCACGAGGTGCTATAGAGTTTGAGAGCAGTGAGAACAACACAGAGGATCAGGCAGATGAGAAGAGTTGGGATGTCAGTCCAGGTCCTCATCAGGCTCTCAGCATGAGGGCATTTCTATCTGCTGGCTGAATGTCTGTTCATTTGCTCCATTATTTATACCAAATTTGGGGGCTTTTGACACCCGCTTTCGGACCCTATCAGCTACCACTGGGTCTCTCAGTAACATCATTTATCTGGTGGTGGTCCCCACCCTGGTTTTCTTGCCTTCCCCCCTTATGGGGCCAGGGCAACATGCTAGAGACTTCACTCTGAGTTTATCCAGATGGGGAGAAGTGACTTGTTTTTGTCTGAGGGCCATACTGGAGGGCTCTGTTAGGTGTGCCTGATAAGACTGTAGGTTCCAAACTGGAGTTTTAAACTGGAGTCGCTTAGGCTCAGGCCTAAGGCCATTCTTACAACAAGGCCTCTGTGACCAGTGGAGTGATACCAAGTTAGTTAACAAATCAATTTGTAGAACCCTAGAAAGAGTATAAAATAGTACATGAAGAAATAATGGCCAAAATTTTTCTACAATTGACAAAAACTACAAACTCACAGATCTAAAAAGTTCCACAAATCTGAAACAAATAATCACAAAGAAAATTACATAAGTGTCGAAACAGACAAAAGATGTGACTTATGCAGTCGAGGGAGAGAAATAAAGAATGTCCACATGCCTCATATTATTGAAAACCACTGATAAAAAGGAAAAATGTCTTAAAAGCAGCCAGAGGAAAAAGAGACATTAAAAACAAGAAAACAAAGATAACTAACTGCTGGCTTCTTATCTAAAACAATACAAACCAAAAGGCAATAGAAAGACATCATTAAAGTACTGCAAAAAAGAAAATAAATATGTTAACCTAGAACTGTAAACTCACACAAAATATCCTTCAACAATGCAGACAAAATGAAACCTTTTCTTCTGATGTACAAAAACTGAAGGGATTTGTTGTCAGAAAAACTGAACTTTTACAAAAAAGAAAAAAAAATTAAGAGACGTTGTTCAGGCTGAAAACAAAGAATTCAAATGGAAGTTCAAATCTCCCCCAAAGACCTGGGAATATGGTATCAGTGGTACCAGCATAGTTTAAAATTTTTCTCTGAATCTATGTTTGAAAAAGAAAGGAAGAAAGATCAATTAAGTAGCAAAAACAGAAGCCCACAGACAACATGTGCAATAACACTAGGTAGAAAGTTATCATCATAAACTCCATAATAAAAGTGGGTAGAGAAAAATCACCATGACTTACTTGCAATTGGTATCCATGCAGAGAAAAGGAAGAAGAGGGAAACATATAAAGAATGTAAAAAGAGGATACCCCCAATGTGGAAAGCAGTTTTATTAGAAAAATATTGACAGACCAATCTGAGATTAACAGATGAAATTAGGAAGATTTTACTTTCTATAACCATAAGACACAATGAAAAGGTCTAAAGGGTATGGAACAATGTAGAACAGGAGACGCTGCTGGAAGTGCAACCCAAAGCAGAAAGGAACAACAGAGGTAAAGGAGATACGTCTTGCCAGCCCAAAGTGAATGAAATCAAGGAACCCTGGAAAGCATGCTGCTGAGTTTTTGAATGAACATTGCACAGAACAAGCTTTGTGTAGTTAGAAAGTTATTCTTGAAAACAGCCTTATTCTAAAAGTTCAGAAAACCTAATTTTACCTAAGATTGATCAATAGAAGTCACCAAAGTCAAATCCCATAGAAAATCATTATGAGAAAAAAAAATAAAGAAGCAAAACAAGATCTCTACATATGATGAGAGTATGTGGCAAAGACATGCCCACAAAATAGCGATCATCTGTGACCTGTGTGAAGGTATACAGAAAGCCAAAATGGTAAAGATGTGAGTAAAAGTTTTAAATCTCTTCCTCCGTTAGAAATTCTATAAAGATAATTTACTTCTTTTCATTTCTAAGGAATAAAGTTTTACTGAGCTCACAGTTCAGGAGGCTTGGCCACCCAAGGACATGGCAGGAGCATGTGGTCAGCCAAAGAGAGCGTACTTGCTGCATAAGACAGAATAAGCAAGCCACACACAGAGCTCACCTTTATGACAAAGGCACTCCTTCAGGAACCCATGAATCCGTGGATTTCAGATGAGATCCATTTATGACCCAATCAAAAGATCCCACCTTTCAAAGACCATTACGTATGATTATGAGGACTAAGCTTTCAGCACCTGGAAGTCATTCAAACCATAGCAGAGCTGATATGCTCAACCTGGCTAGACACTGCCCAGTCCCATCCCCAAATACTTCAGCTAGGAGGGCACCAACCCTGGTGATTTCACCCCAGAAGATCTGACCCAATAGAATCCCATTCCTTAGAAATCCTAAAGCATCAGTAACACTCTGGTCCTATTACCTCCTCTTTTTGCCTTGCTCCTTTCTTTCAATTGGCTGTTCTTCTGTGTTCTCATTAGCCCAGAGGTCAGTGATCTGACAAAGGCACACGGTCATTGGTTATTTCAATCATTTTCTTTCTGGGACCACTCATATTTACAAGGAATGACTGGAAGGGGGCCAGACCTATGCTAAGGAAGGATTCCAATCTCCAGGCAGGATTTCAGATATCCATGAGGGCAATGTTTGCACCTTGGGTCCTTCCTGGATCTCCAGCATTAACATATCATTCTGTCACAGCCATGAGCACGTTCCTTGCTACTGAGAAAAGAGTCTTTTGATAGCCTTTAAATGAGAATTTACTTCTCAATTTAAAAACAATAAAAAACATATTCCAGCACATGTAGAAGTATAATGTATGATAATAAAAGAACGAAGGAGAAAAAGGGGAATCATTGGAGCTCCCTAGTCATCTTCTATTGATTCAAAAGCTGATTGTGTGACTTTCTTTTCAACTCTGCATTGATTAACATCACTTTAGTAGCTTAAAATCATTCATGATAGGTGTATTAACTCCACTAAACTGGCAATGCTAAAAAATCAGGGTTTTTTTTGTTTGGTTTTGTTTTTTTACCTTGAAGATCTGGTTAAAAGTTTACCAGCACATCACTGAGGAGCATGATGTACAATTAATTAAAGTGTTTTATACTATATGCCAAATAATATAATATTATTTCAATCTTGTGTTAAGCTAAAGATGCATAATGCAAACCTTGAAGAAGGTGTTTAAAAAAAAAACAATAAATAGCAACAGAGAAGAGACATCTATGAGTGTTTCACAATAAGGAAATCAATTCATCAGAAGGCATATGTCCTAAATGTGTATGTACCTGACAGTCTTAAAACATAGGAAGAGCTACAGGATGAAATAACCAAATCCACACTTACACTTAG